TTAAGTGTAGTCCACTGGCAGAAAGTATAACTCTTAAAAGGCCAATTTATAGCAGCCTACTCAGAGCAATAAAGTTTAATACATGTTAAATATTAATAATGTCTGATTTTGCTGAGGCCTTCTGCCCAAGTTTCCTTGCCTGATGAAACTACCCAATTTCGGGGTCCACAGGGAAATTAAAATACAGTGTGTTGAATGCTGCAAGAAGGTTACATGTAGAGAGCAGGAAGAACAGAAACCAGGATGCATCAGAGAAGATTGAAATATACATATATTTTTATTTTAGATTATCTTTTTTATCATGTAACTTGCTTATAATTTATATTACATTTTTAAAAAGATTTTATTTATTTGAGAGAGAGTGAGTGAGTACGAGTCAGGGGAGGGGCAGAAGGGGAGAGAGGGGGAGGGGGAAAGAATGTCAAGTAGACTCCATGCTGAGCGCAGAGCCCGATGTGGGGCTTGATCTCACAACCCCAAGATCAGGACCTGAGCCAGAATCAAGAGCTGGACGCTTAACTGACAGAGCCCCCCAGGTGCCCCTATATTGCAATTTTAAATTGACTTTGGTTTTAATTTTAAATTTTTTGTGCATGTGCTATACAATTTTTTATTAAGTTTTTTATTTTAATTCCAGTATTGTTAATATACAGTGTTATGGGCGCCTGGGTGGCTCAGTCGTTGAGCGTCTGCCTTCGGCTCGGGTCATGATCCTGGGGTCCCGGGATCGAGTCCCACATCGGGCTCCCTGCTCGGCGGGAGGCCTGCTTCTCCCTCTCCCACTCCCCCTGCTTGTGTTCCTGCTCTCGCTGTCTCTCTCTGTCAAATAAATAAAATCTTTTAAAAAAAAATATACAGTGTTATATTAGTTTTAGGCATACAATACAGTGATTCAGCAATTGGATACATTTCTCAGTGCTCATCATGACAAGTGTACTCTCTAATCCCCATCACCTATTAGACTTTAATTTTAGAATAATTTTAGGCTCACAGGAAAATTGAGCAGTGGGTACAGAAATTTCCCATACACCCCCTGGCCCACACATGCACAGCCTCCCCCATTAGCAACATCCCCTACCAGAGTGGGACATTTGTTACAGTTGACGAACCTACACTGACACATCATTATTGCCCAGAGTCCATAGTTTACATTAGGGTTCACCCTTGCTGTTGTACATTCTATGGATTTGGACAAATGCATAATGCTGTGTATCCACCATTGTAGTGTCATACAGAGTATTTTCAATGCTGTAAAAATCCTCTGTGCTCTACCTATTCATCCCTCTCTCCTTTCTAACCCCTGGCAACCACTGATCTTTTTATGGTCTCCATAGTTTTGCCTTTTCCAGAATGTCAGATAGTTGGAATCATATAGTATGCAGCCTTTTCAGATTGGTTTCTTTCACTTAGTAATGTGCATTGAAGGTTCCTTCATGTCTTCTCACAGCTTGATAGCGCTGATATCTAACTCAAAAGGTTGTTATGAGGATGAAATGAGATAATCCAAATAAGGTCTTAATCCAGTGCCTAGCATATGGAGAATGTTTGGTAAAAGTTGTTATAATTATAGTTTGCACATAAGATTTTAGTGGGCTGAGATATATATACTCCTGGGGTTGTGGGATTCTATATTTTATTTATACATTGCATATATATATATATATATATACATATACTAGTTTTGGTTATTAAAAAGGAAAATCTGTGTTTTATTTCTTTGGCTCAGTTTAGGCTCTGGATTTCATTTTAATGATGGCAACTTCTCTTTAATCAAATGATTCACAATAGAAAAGAGGCTCTTTTACTGATGGGGGTATCTTAAAATACGTGTGCATGTACATATAAAATCAAGATTCATAAGTGACAATCAACCACTGAATTTTCTTTGAGATTTTGAGTAGCAGTGAGAGTTCATTCAACAAATACCAAGCAGCTGTTGCTGAGAGGGCATGGCGTGATGCCTGGACAACTGTGGGAAGGAGGAGAGTCCATGGGAAAACCAGTAAGTTCTTATAAATAAATGTTTCATGGGTTGTATAAGCAAGGTAGTTTGTATTAGAGGCAGAAACTAGTGTCTTTCAAGATAAATGATGATCAATGACACCCCAAATTTACTTTCAGTGTATACATTGCCTCACATTAATATCCTCTCTGGTTTCTGGATTATTCTTTTGAGAAAACAGAATACTGGCTGCAGTCCAAACTGAGAAATTTGGATATGAATCCTGGCTCCACCACTTACTCCGTGAGTGACCTTGGACAACTCATTTGACTTCTGACTACTCATTTTTTTCTCAGCACCATTTGTCAGTGAAAGGGACTTAAAGTATCTCCTCCATTATCCAGTATTATACATTAAGGGGCAAACAAACCTGACTTCTAGCTTCTCCCGTTAAAAATTGTTTTTGCTTTTGTTTTAGAAGGACTTTTTAGGTAACCAATTCCATTGAATGCCTTCCTCAATTAGCCACTGTTGGAAATTCTATTAATATTCAGGAAAAATAGGGCGCCTGGGTGGCTCAGTCGGTTAAGTGACTGCCTTCGGCTCAGGTCATGATCCCGGGGTCCTGGGATCGAGTCCCGCATCGGGCTCCCTGCTCTGCGGGGAGCCTGCTTCTCCCTCTCCCACTCACCCTGCTTGTGTTCCCTCTCTCGCTGTGTCTCTCTCTGTCAAATAAATAAATAAAAAATCTTAAAAAAAAAAAAATTCAGGAAAAATACCACTATTCACCAATTCCTTCAATTAGTCTCAGTTATATCCCTAAATGTAATAAGGGGGAATAGAGGCCATCCGGGAAGTTACCCAGTATTTCTGAAAATGACTTGACCAAAGTATTCATTTCTTGTAGAGCACACCCGAGATGAATTTGGGGGGGAAACACAGGCTTGGGCATTTATCAACGTTTACCAGGCAAGGGCACACAATGAAGATGAGAGATGTGAGCTGAGTCACTTAGCCAACTCTTGCCACTCTTTCTTTGTTACAAACGAGATAGCGCATGCAGAAGCCTTTGGAAATTCTAATACCCTGTGTATAAAGAAAACATAGGAGAAATTTTATTATCATGGAGTGGATAAAATAAAGCGCGTGGATTTTTTGGGAAAAAATCCTGTATATCAAGAAATACCACAAATAAAAGGCAAACAAGAAAAAGATATTTGCAACACGCATCAGAAGAACTCATTTCCCTGTTCTATAAACTGGTCATGTAAATCAATATGAAAAGACCAACAATTCAATAGAAAAACTGGTCGAAGATCAGAGTTATCTCATAGAAAATGAAGAACAAATGTCTTATAAATAAACAAAAGGATAAGGTTTTGCTCCTAGTTAAGGAAATGAAAATAAAACAACATTTACCATTTTTCACCTCTTATATTGGCACACAATTTTAGATCACACCAATGTTGGTGTGGGTGTGGGAAAACCGGTATACCCTTGGGGCAGTCTCTTTGGAGGACAATTTGTTAGTTTCCACTAAAATTGCAAAGTCCCATGCCATGTGAACCAACAATTCCTTATATAGGAATTTGTTTTCCATATATATATATACACACACACACACACACACACACACACACACACACACACACAGCTATATATTTGAGATTATTTACTGCAGCATGATTTATAACAGTAAGTGGCTGAAAAAAAGCCTCATCATCCATCACGGGTGACTAGGTAAAATCTGTTATGGGACACCTGTACAATGGCAAACTCTGCAGTCGATTCCATGTCTAACTTGCTTCGGCTCAGGTCATGATCTCATGATCTCAGGGTGGTGAGATCGAGCCCCGGTCGGGCTCCGTGCTCAGTGCAGAGTCAGCTTGGGATTCTCTGTCTCCCTCTCCCTCTGCCTCCTCCCCCTGCTCACGTGCTCTCTCTCGCTCTCAAAATAAAATAAAATCTTTAAGAACAAAACAAAACCGCATATAGGGACTAACAGGACTAAGACATTTCAACTAAATGCAATGCGTGGACTTTGAATCCTTATGATGGATCAACTTTAAAAGTGCATTTATAAGTCATTTGGGGACGTTTGAACACTGACTGGAAATTCTGATAATACTAAATAATTATTGTTATTTTTTTTAGGTTTGGTAATGATGTCGAAGTTATATTTAAAGAAGAGCCTTTATATTTCAGAGTAGCCTAATGAAACATTCTGGGGGAAGTAATCTGCTGTTTGGGATTTGCTTCATAACAGTCTATAGATTATGAAGGTAATAGTGTATTCATCTCTGGGCAGGAAGGAGAACACAGATGAGACAAGACTGACTGTGAGTTTAAGACAACTGTATGGGTCGATGGGTACATGGGGTTTCAATATACTCTTCTTTTGCTACTTGAGTGTTTGAAGTCTTCCCTAATAAAAAGTCAAAACTGAAAGGTAAAACCTGAAGCTACAAATGTTCAAATCAAAAGCTAAAAATTAAACAGACACTAAAAATGAAAAAGCAAGGTGGGTAATTATCAGTGTAGTAATCTAACAAGGAATCTGCACAGAAAAATTCTGGAAAGAAAGCCTGCTGTTTTCCTTCTTGGGAAGGCTGATGGGGGCCTAGGATATTTACTTTTCAGTATTTTGATAATGTTTTAAAACAAAGCTACAAAAACACAGTGCTGTACAAATATTAAATCTCCTATTAGAAATAATGTATGCCACAGTTAAATACAAATGAGCGAAGGTTCTCAGCAGGGCTCTCCGATTAGCACATTTATTAATTTCAGGTCCTGCTCAGACTTCTACTGACGCTGTTTTAATTAAAGTCTTCAGCTTACTTGGAATCATTTAGTGCTTGGTAGAAAATGATAATACAGTTAACTCTATTCTTTTATATTTATATATCATTAAACATAAATATAATTAAAATATAGTATATATTGATGTATCTTTAATTAAAATATATAATTAAATCTGCATGCTTGATCTCATTAAACATTTATTGGACTATATATATACATTTTTCAAATAAACAGAAAAATAGAAATATAATGGACATCCACATCTATTTTTTTTCCCATATTCGCTTCATCTATTTGTGCAGAGTATTTTCGAGTAACTGAAAGACATTTTGACAGCTCACCCCTAAATAGCTCAGTATGCCTCTCTCAGCTGTGTCCAGTCTACTAATAAGCCCATTAAAGGCATTCTTCATTTGTCACAGTGTTTTTGAGTTGTAGCATTTCTTTTTGGTTCTTAGGATTTCCATCTCTCTGCTTACATTGCCCATCTTTTCGTGCATGATGTCTGTCCATTAGAGCCCTTAGCATATTAATCATCGTTGTTTTGAATTCCCGGTCTGATAACTCCAACATCCCTGCCATGTCTTTTTCTGTTGCTTGCTCTGTCTCTTCAGACTGTTTTTTTTTTTTTTTTTTTTGGTCTTTTAGTATGCGTTCTTAGGTTTTCTCGATAGCCAGATGTGATGTACCGGGTAAAAGAAACTGATAGAAACAAGCCTTTAGTAATTTGGTGATACAGTGTCGGGGTGGGGAAGTGTCTTATAGTCCTAGGATTAGGTCTTAATCTCTAGGGAGCCTGTGTCTCTGGACTGTGAATTTCACAAGTCTTTCTCAGTTTCCCCTTCGTCCCCTGGGGGAACAGGATGGCTAGAGTCGGCTGGATGGAGTCGGGTATTTCCCTTCTCCCAGGTCTTTTGGGCTCCTGTTAAATGACTTCTCCGGAGGGTGGACTTTTGTTAAGAAAAACAGAGCACTCTTGTGTATTTCAAAATGGATCCCTTCCCCCTCTCCCTGTTGGAAGCCCGAGGGGATTTTTCTCCGAAATTTACTGTGGGATCCTGGTCCAGCTCCTGGAGTTAAAACTCACAGAAGTGTGAGGGCCCTTCGATGAGTGGGTCCCCCTGGGGTTTGTAACTCTCGGATTCGGGCGCCGGAAGCCTCTGGCTGCTGGTCTGTTACACTTCCGCTTTCCCTGCTCTGACACGGGCTCCTGTGCAGGCTGCAGATCCTGCTTCTGCTCCGGTAAGTGCTGATTCTCTTTATTTGCCTGTCTCTCCGATTTGGGGATTTGCCCCGTGACCTTACTTCTCTTACGGATCTAAGAAGAGTTGATTTTTCAGTTTGTTCAGTTCTTCACTTGTTGGATGGACTGGTGACTTCCAAGCTCCTTATAAATGGGACCAGAAACTGCCAGGTCCCATTTGTCTCTCTCTCTCTCTTTCTTACTCTCTCACTCTTTTTCCCCCATTGACCTGAAGAGGCTCCCATAGGGGACTTAGGGTTTATCCCTAAGGGATGATCCCCTAAGAACACAGGAAGAATTGCCCACCGTCGGGCATTTGCTGGGTCTCTCCAGGTTTCCTGCTGCCTGGGATTGGTGTCTCTCCCTCCCCTTAGCAGATGCTGCTTCCCATGGTCCCAATGGCCCACAAGCCTGTCAGGTGCTATCAGCAGAAGACCCAACGGTGCGGTACTTGTTTAGCACTTTCCCGAGTCCAGGATTCCCGGACTCCCTCTGCTTGCAAGGCCACTCATGAAAGGGAGTCCATTTTTTGTAATTTCACCCATGATGCTTTCTGCTGTGCACACATCCTACTGTAGAACCCTCTTGCTTATGAGTTTCAGCCTGCATCGTGTGACGATTGTTGGTGTTTGTCCAAAGCCTTTGATGGTTCGTAGGGTCCAACGTGAAGCTCTGCTTCAAACAATAGTTCCATAACAGTTCCATTTCCTGGACTTGTTCACGTTTTACCTCGTGGGGTCATTTCGCTTGTCCCGCTGTGCCCTGTACTTGCTCTAAATGCAAGTCCGAGCTTCCAGCTTGGTTCAGTGCACATGAAGCATTTATTGTGCAGAATACTTCTTAAGTGATGGTGTGTATTTCCTACCACATCACCTCAGGGGGCTCATAAGATCTGATTGTCCCATTACTATTTGAAAATGCTGATTAATCACTGGCTTAAAATGGTGACAGCCCGATCCCTCCCTTGTAAAGTTACATTTCCCCCCTGGCAAGCTGTTTGTAATCTCTAGGGTGATTCTTTGGCACCATGTGATGATCCAATTCCCCGTTAACAATTTACCTAATGGTTTTCACATCTGTGGTTAATCCTTGCCCTAACGAAGGACTACGTAAGAGGCTACCGATTGGTGGTTTTCTAAACCAGTCATTTGTTTTACATTCATCAGCTGTCATTCTACTTTGAGAAAGAGCTTTCTCATCAGCTGTGTCAATTTGATTACACTGAAACATAATTCCTATTGCAAACCGGGATAAATGTTTTCTTCAATACAAATTCCAAAGTAAGGAGGAGGTGTAATATTCTCCCTCAGTGATGGCAAATGAGTCTTTTGTTGCTGTTTTCTTCGCACAGACCCGTGGATTTTAATATAGTCAATGCATTTCAATCAGCGATAGTCACATTTTTCGGAAGGCATGTGATTTTCATTTATTGCAATAGAAGTTTACAAACGTGCCAGCTAATTTTGATTAGAATATTATGAAAATTTGCTTGCATTCTTTAAGTATATATCTTTATTCTACTGTTTGATTCTTAGCCCCAAATCCGGTTAGTCTTTGAGCACTTCCCTTGCTTTTTAGCTCAACAGGCCATCCCGTGTTCACCTAGCATTTTCCATATCCCATATCTAGAAACCACTCTTTCTCTAAAGAGCACTGCTTCTTTTTAGTAGTTAATGGCATTTAGGAATCATAGTTTCTGGCATGTCTTTATTAGCAGACAGCTTTAGAACACACACACAATGAGTTTATATTGATTTTTTTTAAAGATTTTATTTATTTATTTGAAAGAGAGAGACACAGTGAGAGAGGGAACACAAGCAGGGGGAGTGGGAGAGGGAGAAGGAGAAGCAGGCTTCCCGCCGATCAGGGAGCCCGATGTGGGGCTCCGTCCCAGGACCCTGGGATCATGACCTGAGCGGAAGGCAGATGCTTAACGACTGAGCCACGCAGGCGCCCCGAGTTTATATTGATTTTTACAGCATTCTTATTTGGTTCTATACTTAGGGCTCTTTTCTCTTACACTGAAAAATCTTGGATTCTATCATTTATTTATTTTATTCTTTAATATACAAAAATGGTTTCAATTAGCAATACAGTATTACCACTAACCATAAAACTACTGAATAAAATTCAAGATTTTTTTTTTTGCGTTTTTCTTTTTCTTATAATGTATCCCCAAAGGATGAAAAGAAAATGCTGTGTTTTGGAGACACTTGAAATAATTATTTTCTATGGTTATAATGTCAGTTTGATATATAACTGGGTTCATTTGTTTCAGTTGGTTTTCAATTTGAGGAATTAGTTTTTTTTTGACATTCTGAAAGGTTTCTTAACTTCTTTTAAATTACAGAGGAACCCATTAGTGTTTATGGGCATGAGCACCTAGCTTCCTCTTAGTTAATGTCCCCGATGGACCTCTACACAGAACCTCTAATCCTTGAATTTTCGGTTGGTTCTCCAGTCTCTTCGATAATGGCCTCTGTGTAAACTTTTCTAGTAATTATGCTCTTATAAATATTCAATTATAGATACTGAATTTGGATACTTGCCTGAAATTATTTCATCTATTTCCACCTCTTTTAATTCCTCCACTCCAAAATTCCAGTTTGATGATCTATTTTAGAGAGAGCGCACCCACACACAAAAGCGTGAATTTGAGTGGGGGGAGGGGCAAAGGGGGGGAGAGAGAGAGAGAGAATCTCGAGGCGCCACACCCATCCTGGAGCCCCAGGCAGGGCTCGATCTCACCACTCTGAGATCATGACCTGGGACAAAATCAAGAGTGGGATGCTTAACCAACTGAGCCACCCAGGTGCCCCCAGTTATTTTTCTTTCAATATGCTTGGGAGTTTTAAACTGATGGTAGAATACCAACTGAAAGAAGACTCATAGGCTCTAAAGAAAGAGAAAGTAGCTGAAGTCCCCTGGCTAGGTCTCATTCTATGAGAGGAGCCTGCTCATTGGCAGGATGGCTGCACACCCACGTGGCTGGAGGAAACATTGTTTACAGCATCCGCGTGATTGGTTGGTTCCCATGCTTGACTAGTCATAACAGATTGTTAATAACATTCCTGTTTGGAGGCCTTCGGATTTCATTTCCCAAATCAATTCCTGTCCTTGTTGCGATCTCTTTCAAATAAAGATAAGCAAGAATAAACTTCTTATGTGATTAGAAACTTCATAAGGAGTCTGCTGAGCAAATCTGAAGCAACTGAGTTTAGTTCATATCCTTTTATCCGAGAAGATTAAATACAGTCGTTTTCTAGTGCAAGCTAATTAGCTTCTCCCTCGTGTCCACAGATGGAGCACACATTTTGCTTTCATAAAGACAACAACACGGTTTTCATGGTAATGTGCCTTTGGCTCTGGAAGAGAATGAAAAAAGTTGCTGTTGAAAAATTAATTGCCTTCTTTCCCCTCTCTAGATTATAGAATAAAATACTGAAGGTTTGGGGCGCCTGGGTGGCTTAGTTGGTTGGGCGACTGCCTTCGGCTCAGGTCATGATCCTGGAGTCACAGGATCGAGTCCCGCATCGGGCTCCCTGCTCGGTGGGGAGCCTGCTTCTCCCTCTGACCCTCCCCCCTCTCATGCTCTCTCTAACTCATTCTCTCTCTCAAATAAATAAATAAATAATCTTAAAAAAAAATACTGAGGGTTTTCTGGCAACATGTAATTTGGTACTTTACCTTTGAAGAGTAAGGGTGGAAAAGACCATAGAAAGAACTCAATGAAACATTAAAGTCCCTATTGAAAAATATGGGCCCTAGAAATAAAACTCAGAAAATAAGAAATACAAATGGAAAACATGTACATCATTAGTGGCCAAGTGCTGTACATGTGATTTATACAATAAGGATTTTTTTTTGCCTATCCAAAAATGTGATTCCCCTCCCCACCCAACACATAATACTTGGTAGTGGTAAGAGTGTAGTTAAATAGCTACTTATAAAATAGATGTTGGGAGTCCAAATTCATCAACCATTCTGGAAGACAAATTGGAAATGTACCTCAAAAAGCTACATATTCGGGCGCCTGGGTGGCTCAGTTGGTTAAGCGACTGCCTTCAGCTCAGGTCATGATCCTGGAGTCCCAGGATCGAGTCCCGCATCGGGCTCCTTGCTCAGCAGGGAGTCTGCTTCTCCCTCTCATCCTCCTCCCTCTCGTGCTCTTTATCTCTCATTCTTTCTCTCTCAAATAAATAAATAAAATCTTTAAAAAAAAAAAAGCTAGATATTCATTTCCCAGGAATATATTCTAAGGACATGATTGGAATGTAAGCATGAGTTTATGGAAAACAATATTCATTGTAACACTATTATGGCAGAGAATTAGAAATGAAAGACATTTAAAGACAAAGATGGTTATAGAAATTCTGGTACATCTATATAATAAAATCTTAGGTAGCTTTCAAATATTTTGAAAGAATGTAGGATGGCATAGGAAGTGTTTATAGTGAAATAAGTGAAAAAGGAAGATATAAGGGTTACAGTATTGTAAACAAAACAAAAAGCAGAAAACATTCTATCCCCCTTCCTTCCGTCACACTTCCATACACATACATGAAATACTGGAAAGAAATACACTAACATGTAAAAATAATTGGATTTATTTCATTATGACTTATTTTCCAAATTTTTAACAATAAGGATATATTACTTTATGAAAAGTAAATGGAGGATGATTTCTAGAAAATGCATTAGAACAGGCCTGTATACCTCCACTTTCCAATCAATACCTACCAAAATGTACACAACACAGTTTTAACTCCAAACCTTACTTGGAAACTAGGAAAGACCCTAACTCTTTCCCAAGTGTCCAGAGAACAGTGACCAGGTACAATAAAATCAGTCAAAGTTGAGAAAACTTTGGAGCCAACAACACTTTTTCCTGCATGTGAGGCTGGCGCGAGATGACTAAAGGTGAGAGAAGATTCTAAGGACCAGACCAGGGCAGAGCTGAGGTGTGAGCGGCCTTTAGCAAGAATGACTGAGGAGCATT